ACACACTCACTGACAGACATATACACACTCACCGACAGACATATATACACTCAGTTAAAAAAGTGGAATATAGGTGGCGCTCAGGAATATAAGCATTAGATACACTCAGTGTCAGACACACACCCACTTAGTGTCAGACACACACATTCACTGACAGACACACACTGGCAGACAGACAAATTCACAGACAGACATATGCATTCACTGACAGACACACACTCTCGGTGACAGACACGCATACACACACTTACAAACACACTCACTGACAAAAACATATACACACTCTCTGATAGACACATACACACACACTAACACACTCACTAACAGACACACACACTAACACAATCACTAAGAGACACACACACACAAGCACACTAACACACTCACTAACAGACACTTTTTTTTTAAAGTTCAATACACCCAGCCACCCTAGCTTTGGGAGTCCTGGAGTGGATTCTTCCCTGGGGTCCAGTGGGGCTGACTGCAAATCTTCTGGCTGGCAGGCACAGTGGAGGCTCTGATCTTCCTGCTCAGCCCCCTTGCGTGCCTCTCAGTGATGCCAGGGCCGGAGTGACGTCATTTTCCGGCTCCTGCATCACTGCAGGACGCATGAGGGAACTGAGCAGGGGAGATCTTAGGGGAAAGTGCTCCTCATTTATCAGCGCATGCCAGCCTCGGGGGAGAGGGGCCCACGGTGGCCAACTGGCAAGCTCCTGGGCCCCCCAGGACAAGAGGCTGGCAAAACATTTGCTACAGAGTTTGGGGGGGGCTTTTTTTGCTGCCCCCCTCAAAGTGCCTCCCAAGGTTATGGCATACGGTAGTCCATTAGTTGGTTAAATTCCCTGGTGGTTCATGAGGAGTGAAAATTGCCTGCATCCACCAGTGGTGCAGACCATATGTGCTCTGTCTGGGGCTTACATCATCCCTAATGATCATCCCTGAAAAATCTGCCTGACACCCAAAATGCATTTACCGGACACCGGGCAATAACGGATTCACACTTCATTAATATTAGCAATATCTGCAGTTACAATGACTAAATCAGTATGACCGGACTTGTTAAGTGCTTCTTTAATTAAAGGGATATTATAGGCACCCAGACTACTTTATCTCATTAAAGTGGTCTGAGCGCAGTGTCCCTGTCCCCTTACTCTGCAATGTTAACCATTGCAGTTCCAGAGAAACTGCAATGTTTATACTGCAATGCCAACAGTGCATCTAGTGGCTGCCTATGAGATGAAGTCTAAATCCATGAAACAACACTAGACGTTTTCACACTTTGCATGAGGACGTCCAGCGTCTTCAAATCCCCCATAGGAATGCACTGATTTTCGCTGGTACTCGCTGTACATGCGCATTAGGTTCCCTCATCTGCAGACATCGGAGGCTGAGGAGCCCGGCCCAGCACCGAGGGGCATTGACACTGGAATCAGGTAAGTATTTAGAGGGTTATTTAACACTTTCACGGCTGGGAGAGGACTGCAGAGGCAGAGATACACTTTAGTGTTGGAAATATAGTTTTGTATTCCTAACACAATAGTGTTCTTTTAAGGGAAGTGAAAGTCCGACTGTAACTGACCAGATTCTCTGTGTGGTTTGACAGGTCCAGAGAGGAAGTAAAACAATGTGTGATCCTAAAAAGTAACAGCAACTTTCACATGTCAAGGTCATTTAAAAACTTTGTATAAAATAATTTTTTTACCGTTTTTGCCTCTTTAACCATCGCAGTGCATTTGTGTGACTGTATTAAAGGACCCCCCACATAAAGCTGGCTGAAGTGCTCTATTTGTGAAGAATGAGTCCTCTTTTTTTCATTTCACAAAATTAACTTAAACGGCACGCAATTCCACCGAAAGTTTGGGCTGGGGAAGAAGGGTGGATCTTGCAAAGACTGCAGAAAAGATATCTGCAGCTTTCCCTAGCTGTTTTTAGATTTACCCAAAATTAAATAAAATGCACAATTAAAATCAACACTATATGCATTAGATTGTTGTAGGATTTTGACAAATTCTTCACATTTTAGCTTAAATACTAGCCATATATCTTTTTCTCCACTGTAAAGCAAATGTATCCCACACCCTTCATACATGACAGTGTCCATCGTGTAGCCAGGTTTAGCTCCAAGAGCTTCAGACTCTCTTTTGGCAAGAAGCAGCGCCCAGTGGATCAAATAAAAAGTAGGGATTGACCAATTATCGGTTGGGCCAATAAAATCGGACAATATTCGTCATATTGGTAGGATTGCCACATTGACCAATAATAATGTGCAATACCTAATACTAATGAATCTCTAAACTTTGATATTCTGAATGTCTCTCCTTTATCTGTTCCACTCCATGTCACTAGCAGCCCAATTACACCCTTAGCCTCCATCAGTAGAGCTTGCAGTAGCTGTGTCTGCACCAATCCTGGGAATCTTTCAACTTGGTCTCTCCACCCCTATGACCTAACAGCCAGTGGTGGTATTTTGGAATTGTGCTGCCCTAGGCATGACTAAATTCGGGCACCCCCCCAATCTAAATTTACCTCACCAATTTATATCAGGACCACTTTTTTGACTGACTGACACACGCCCTCGTTAATACATGCACTGACATACATTCACTGACAGATACACAGTCATTGGCACACACACTGTTTAACCAACACACACTTTCACTGAGACACACACTGACACACCCACTCACTGACAGACACATACTCTCAGATACACATACACTGACAGACACACACTGACACAAATAGTCACACACATCCTCACTGATTTGACACACTCTGACACACACACACATTCACTCACTCAGACACACACTGACAGCTACATGCACTCATTCAAAGACATACACACACACTCACAATGACACTCATACTCACTGACAGACATACAGGCTCACAATGATAGACACATACTCACTGACCGACACAAGCACACATTCACATTTACTGACAGACACACACACATTTTCTCGTCCACAAATTATTAATTTAAAAAAAAATTACATCCACCCAGCCTCCCTACCTTTGGGAGAGCTGGAGTGGATGCTGTCCCTAACAACTGCTGGCTGGCTCAGCAGGCTCCTTGTTGGCTGCTGCTGATGAGGCTGGCTCTGCTGGGGCTGTTGGCTCTAATGGGACTGCTGGTTGGGCAGGCTTGCTGGGGTTGCTGGCTTTGCTGGGGCTGCTGGCTGGGCTGGCTTTGCTGGGGCTGCTCAATGGAGGCGGCGAGGGAACTGAGCCTTTATTGCTCATCTCCTTTTGCACCGTTTAGTGATGCCGGGGCCAGAGTGACATCATATTCTGGCTCCCGGCATCACAGAAGGGAGCGCAAGGGAGCAAGAAGAGCGGAGGATAGTGCTCCCTTACCACCCGGATAGAATATTAGTAATTTAACACCATGGGTGGAGGGGAGGCTAATGTAGCCAGCCAGCCAGCTATTGGGCCCACCAGGACACAGGGCAAATAAGGCATTAGCCTGGGTGCTGGGGTGTCATTTTTTGCCACCCGCCCTGAAAGTGCCGCCCTAGACAAATGCCTTGTTTGCCTTGTGGTAAATACAGCCCTGCTAACAGCGCAATATTTAAACAGAAAGGGGGACTTGCCATCACAGGACCTATAGAGACTTCCAGAGTGCATCCTTCTGGAGATAAGTGGCCCCATAGGGGGCAAGGCTTTTATTGCACAAAATTTTTTTATGCCATTTTATATTGTGAGTGTCAGTTTTACCATATGTTTTTTGTTAGTCGTTTAGTATTAAATACTACACTATAAATTCCTTTTTTGTTATTTTGTTACTTTCTATACTGTTACTATACCTGGGAGTATTTCAATCCAGATTTTTATCATCTGCTTAAAGGGATTCTATAGCGCCAGGAAAACAAAGCCGTTTTCCTGGCACTGTAGAATCCTACAGTGCCCCCCTCCCTCGTGCCTCCCCTCTTGCGCAGCTGAAGAGGTAAAACCCCCTTTAATAACTTACCTGAATCCAGCACCGATGTCCCTAGGGACTGGTTCAGGCTCCGCCCATGCTCTGGTGGGGGGAACTAATGCGCATGCACAGCAATGGCCGTGCTCGCATTAGTATCTTCCCACAGGAGAGCATTAATCAATACTTTCCTATGTATGTGTGTATTTATATACCATTGTACAGCGCTACTGATTTTGCTGGCTCTATATAAATAATAAAACAATAGTAATAATATATAAATATATGCACACACAGTTAAAGTGCAGAGTACAGTTTTGAAGTGCTGCTTTTCCCACATTGTTTATAAGCCCCTACATGAAAGACAGGGAAAGAGTGTACACCCTGGGTGACAGGCATCTCCTTTCAGAGCAGAAACCTGCCTGCAAGCTTATTCCTGGTGAGGTGACATGCTCTACCACTATCTTGGATCTGCATGTGGAATTTGGCGTCCATAGCGTTGCTGAGATTTCTCTGCACGGATTTCCCTGCTCTCTTGCGAACCTTGTACTAATGCTGGAGCCGGGATGTGACATCACCCAAGCATCTGTACAGAACAAAATGCAGCTTGGTATTCAGTACCGAGATTAAATTCCAGCAACTGCCACTGGACAACAGGGATGAGTTTCCACTTCAGCTCTTTGCTTTAACGTTAGAAAATAGAGGCTGAGTGAACCTCACTGTAACACTTATTTATGCAGAAATGTACAACTGAATCACAAAGAGACCTTTGATGCATTTTAATAGAAAGGAAGGTAAGTTGCTTCTGACGATTCTTGGCACCATCCAGAACACAGAAAATCCCCTGGAAATGTAGAACTAACTCTTACAAAAACGGAATCCATGTTTAAAATGGAATGAGGCAAAAATGTGGTTCTTTGTTAAACTAATTTGCATATGCCCACCCAGAATCCTTTGCAGTAGTAACATCACTGCAGATTTGTGATTTCTGTGGGTAAAGCGTCTTATGGCTTGATTGGTGTGCAGATATTTGTTTAACATTGTATTAACTATCTTACAAGAATGATACACAAGATCAGTTTTATTAGGTGAGGAGTCGCCATCTACTGGCTCCAAATAATATTCCAGCTGCTGCAGAATATTCACAATGAAACCATGAAACCACATGCTTCTTCAGAGTCATCCATTTTACATGAATCTTAAATTATATACATGAAATAAATGTATTATAACATAGGCAACATTTCATTTACATAGGGAAAAATAGTATGATGTGCAAATCTTCTTAAGGAAGTACTTAAGATCATACAAAGTGTGATTGATTATGAATTACAATGTAATTTTATATAAGTTGTGTACTATATATAGGTTATTACCAAAAACAGCCAGCAAAGGGCATCTAAAATTATTTATTTTTTTATTTATAAATAAATATTTATTTATTTTACCAGGAAGGATACATTGAGATTTCTCTCGTTTTCAAGTATGTCATAATCCCACAAACAT